ACGCACGCACTCGTAATGGCCTCTATAAGATACTTCATGCGATTTAAACACAATGATAACATCAGATATACATAAAAGAATTAATACATATATATTTGGCTTGGGTTCAAGGTTGAAACTAAGCCCAGGGCGGAAGATTATCTTTTTATCTTGTATCAGTATATGCTGCAACCTTCAAGCCATTTAATTACGAATCCAATTTACTTGTTTTCCGAGTAAGCCCCAAATGAGAAAAAATATATATACCTATTATGGAAAGGCTTTTGTTTCACCCGCCTGTACACGCTCAGGGTTGTTTTGTTTACGCGGTTTTCACACGGGCCGTTGCCTTTCTCTTATTAATTTGTCATTACAAATATGGGCCATGTCCAACAGTAGTATATGGCACACATTATATTAATTTAATATTGCTGATATACGGGCGAACACAACTCGTAACGCGGCCTTCGCTTGTACCGTACCGCTCCCCCCACGTCATAATTCACTTCTGTTGTCTCGGGAGTCCATCTATTAATATTTGTGGAGTAATTTTAATTTGGACTGTGGGCTATAACAAGCTCTCCAACCGCCACTCAACCCTCGGTTAGATTAATTTCAAATAATTTGTTCCATGATTAAGCCGTGGTGATAATAGACGGACGACCTTATCAATATTATATGCAGTATATGCGTCCTTTGTTAGAATGTCTATTGAAAGTTCGCAACTTTTCAGATCATATATGCGAGTATCTTTTATAATGTCTTGAGTCTTTAAATATTGTGTGTCAGAAGAGTTCGTATTTGAAATTGATTAATCATATCAGTTTGTTTGCACATTAAACCTACCTAGAAATACAGCGTCAAAACTGATTAACACATTTTTTCGGGCCTACAGCGATTGCTCACTTTTAGTCCCAAAATTAATGATCACCGACACTCTTCTTTCCAAGCCGTCTAACAAGCACCAACCTATTGCGCCTAAAGTGCGTCATTCTATTCCCCATAGACTTCCACGTTAAAACAAACAAGATGGCTGCCTCCAGCGCTCAAACTTGGGTTTCAGTTTGGTCTAGTACCCAACCTCATCTCCATGCACGCAGGCTTTTAAAACCCAAACCATTGGTGTGACAGATGTACGCTAGACGCCACTTGTATACCACAAGGCTTATTAGCGCATACACATCCCACTAATCAGCATGTGGAAAGCCTACAGCGATGTGTTATTAATATTTCTGATACTTCGGATAGAAAAGCGAACAGCTGGCATAGCCGCTTCTAGGTATATTTTAATAAGTCATGCTCGCAGACTGTAGCGAAAGACATGTTTGGGTGTCGTTGGGGTCATGAAGGCACCGCATGTATTTGTCTCAAGGTCTGGTGAGGGAAGATCTACGAACGCAGCTTCTACCATAATTTTTGCATTAAGGTAAACAATTTGATAAACAGACATAAAAGACAAAGCAACTCCGTGGCCTCGTGGTCTGGAGCTCTGAATTCGTGGTCTGTGGGTAATTCTGCAGGTTGTGGGTTCGAGTCCAGCCTGCAGCTATATGGTGCGTGTGCCCTTGGGCAAGGCACTTTGTCACTCATTGCTTCTCCCTACCCAGGAGTAAATGGGTACCTGTGAGGATAAAGATGGTTAGTGGGATAACGGATTGGTTTTGTATAGCTGCTTTGCGCCGAAATGGCAGCATCGAGCTGTATACACCCCAGGGAGGTCAGATTGTTTTTGGAACGCTTCATTGGCCCAATGAGCAGGGTAATTATTATGTAGCGCCTTCAGCAACAATACTTGTGGATACGTGCGCTTTGTATATACACATTATCAATTACTTGTGGTCAAACAGCATAACCGTTACAAACTAATCACCGACGGCGAACGTCCATCTCTTTGGAAATCATTACGAAAGGTCAAAACTTTGTTGACCGACCAACAAAGAAAACTTGAATCTCCAAATTTTGTTTGTACCAGTTGTGTTTGGAAGTTCCGGGGTAGGCCTATCATGTGACGATGGAACTTCCGAAAGGATTTTAACATGTCAGCGAAAGTCTTGTTGTTCCTTGTAAAAATTGGACAGGATTTAAATTACACTGACCGATTCCTTTTACATAGATTTTAGTTTTCTTGAATGCTGATATGGCCCCGAGGCTTAAAGGGCACGGTGGAGTACTTAAAAGTATCTCGCAGGTATATTTCAATAACATCCGTCATCATATGGAGTTATCTTTATACTTCAGTTTTTCAATCACCACCAATCGAAAAGATTAAAGCGATTTAAGGGCTTTTGAGATGAAAAATGTATTTCGTGAAGCAAAAAAAGGCGAAAATACCCTATACAACCTCAAAATATCTCGGAGAAGTCCGGCTTTACGTTTTAGTTACCGTCATGGGACAGCCTGAAGATATACATGTTTTTGTTTTTACTACGGCCAGTGTTTCTTTAATGAGGTCAAAACGGATGAAAATAACTTTGAGGATCGACTGACTTCATACTTATCTACCGCATTGTACCTAAGTTAAAAAGTGTCTTGCAGTCATGTCTTAATCGTTGCCATAAGACTGCCGGAGGATGTACGTGAGTTTTTTGTTGACAACGAAGGTCAGTGCCCTTACGTCTTAATGAGGTCGATCTTCGATGAAATCACTCTGAGGATTGACTGACTGACTATAACGAATCAACCTAATTACAAGTCGTGTTTAAAAATTGTCTTTGAGAAATAAGGTTTACACATCAAAGTATGCTTTCTGAATTGCATTAAATAATAATAATAATGTATGCAATGGTGCTTGTGTTCTTGGGCAAGACACTTTACAACAATTTGCCTCTCTCCACCCAGTATAAATGGGTACATGTATGTGAAGGTAGAGACCAGAATGCGCTGATGATCTCGAGCTGCTGCAAAAAAGTGGTCTCGTGGCCTGATGAACAAGGAAATAATTGAGACCTTTGGTATAAGCACTATACACCACATTATCTAAACTAGTCTATGTGACATCAAGTTTCTCTAAACACAAGATGAACGTTGGTATAACAACTTCTAGGATCAGCCCTTCGCTTGTACCCACAGCCGAAACAGGGCGCTGGGAAGGGCTTATTTCTTCTGGATGTTTTACGTAATTTCTTCGAGCCCTTATTGGATAAAATATTGTTTAAACAATAACACTGGTGAAGCTTTTCGCCCGTCGGCGCTTGACACGTGTGCACGCATTGTACATGCATTGGTTGAGGCAGTTAGCTTCCCACAATGCTTTGCGCGTCTGTGCGTAGTAGATACGCCCAAAATTGCCTGCGCCGGCCAAATCACGATTTGCATGCCCTCAAATTCTTCGGTATTGGATCATTTTGTGGGCCGTAAACTTGATGGTTTGAAGAAAAAAAAAAGGAAGGGTGGAAGCCGTGCACAGGACTGTGAGCTTGTATTTCTGAGAAATTCGGATGAAATTGGGCCCTATAAGGGCTCTATTTTGCAATGGCGCGTACAGGCATCGTTTTTCAAAATGGCGATTGGCTTCGGAACTTTTTTTAGGGGTGATCATCTTCGGATGGAAATTTCTCCCAAAAGTTATCAGATTACCCCCCAAAAAATCGAACAGAATATGAAAGATGATGAAGTAAGCTTTAATTTGATGCGTGTCTCGAACACCTTGGAGAGTTGTGTGTATTTTGAAATAATTTTGGGATGTGCGCGTAATTACCACTGAGGTATATAATGGCAGTCCATTTACCGGTCGCCCTGTTTGGGCGGGGGTGCTTTATAGCTCCATAAGGTTGCAGACCAGTAAATCGGTCCGAAATTGCCTACGCCGGCCAAATCACGATTTGCAAAATCACGATTTTCAAAATCTTCAGTATTTGAGCATGCTGTGGGCCATGAATTTGAGGGTTTGTAAAAAATATGGGTGGAAGCCGTGCACAGGACTGTGAGCTTGTAGTTCCGTTCAATTTGGATGAAATTGGGGCCCTTAAAGCGCTCTATTTTGCAATGGAGTGTAGGCATCGTTTTGCAAAATGGCGATGGGCTTCAGGACTATTTTCAGGGGTGACCATCGTCGGATGGAAATTTCTCCTAAAAGTCAAGTTGAAAAGAAAATGAAAGATGATGAAATAAGCTTTAATTTGATGTGTGTCTCGAACACTTTGGAGAGTTGTGAGTATTTTTCCCGAATTTCTGAAGTGGGAGCATTTACCATTGGGGTCTATGGAAGTTTATTTACTGGTCTGCAACCATAAGTTAGCTGGTGCGAGCGAAGTTCAGCCATGAAGATAAAAAAAAAGAGCGCCACCATTTGGTGATACCGCATACGGATTGATATTGTTCCACCACTGAAATTCGCTCGTAGCCATCAGTGTCATAGCCGCCCCGCCCTGCAAACAGGACGCTGGGACAGGCTGATAAATTCACGCTCTGATTGGATACATTTTGCGTGACATGTGACCTGACTACGGCCACGACCCTGCTTGAAAAGAGTTATATAATGTAGGAAAATCTGTAAAACTTATCTGTTTTGTAAATTTTCAATTCCCGTCACTTGCTCAGGGTCCGTTTCGAATTCACTAAGGGTGAAATTGCAGTTGGTGGGTTTTGTTTGGGGGGGGGAGGGGAAGGGGAGGGGGGGGGGGGAGTGCGCAGCCCATAAAGTTGGTTACAGACTTACGTTCTTGCAAGTGAAATACATTTCCCAAATACAACGATCCTTAATTAGAAATTGTACGTGTATATGTGGATCTACCTCGAGCCATAATCATTTCAAAAATAAATTTACAAACATCGGGATTTATTTTAATCAGAACAAAACTTAAGTTCACGGAAAGCGAGCCGCAGCAAGGTTTTTTTTATGTAAATGACATTGAAAATGTTTTCTCAAAGTTTGCCGCAAAAACATGAAGACAATGGAATTTTATTGATCATTGATTCATGGTGCTATTGTACGGTCAAACCAGGCCGAGTCATGAACCTGGGCCACGGTACTTAGCCAACAGATCCACCCACAGAGACCGTACTGGTCGTGTTCATTCAACCGTACAGGCCTACTGTACCGGGATGTATCAACAGATAGGTTTAGTGTGCAGACGCGTCGCCATTACCTAACTTCACCCGTATGTCAATTCACGGATTTTGATCTGTTTTGGGAGGAGTAACATCATCAGAACCGAGTCCTATTCGACAAGTGAGAACCCAGACTTTCAGCATGGGTAAGTGACCATGAATTTTGAGGTTTATTTCTTGAGGGGTAAAAGTTTCAGGGATGTTGGAGATAGCTTTCTAACTGTTGGTTTGGTTTGTGTACGGACTCCGTTATACGGCGTTGTGCATTGACGCTTTTATGACACTGAACGTCACGTACTGCAAGCAAACAGAATGAACATGTCTGTTCTGGTATGCTATTGCGCATCTTTGTAAATGCACAAAGGTATTTTGTCATAACCTCCATGATTAATGTACCGGGCTTTACGCTCGGAACACATTGTATTATAACTGAAAGTGATTCGGCGTATCCTGAATCAGAGTTTCCACTATCAGTATCACAGGGTGAGTCAAAAACAAGGAAACCCAAATGTCAGGACCGTTTTGTTTATGAAGTTCTGCTTATAGCACTTTCAAAATCAAGGATATGAAAGCCCAATTTATAAACTTACTTTTAGCACAAGAATCATTCAAATCACTCACGTACTTTTTAAGTTTGAAACCAAACACCGTTTTAAAGTTCTGTCCACGGATCACAAAAAAATAGGTACTGAATGTTCTCGGCAAAACGAAAACAAATCACATAGGGATATGTATGTGAATGGTTTTCGTTTTGTGAGATTTCAGACACAGTCACGACAACCTCATTAGAAGTTGGATAATGAGAAATTCAACCTTTCTTCTCGTTCAGTCAACCTTGCATTTTACAAAGAATCTTTATAGGCCTACGTGTTGAAGTTACATACGATCATATGCTTTGTGTGCACATGTTTCATTCGAAGCAACAAAATTTATGAGGTTTCATCTCAGGGGACACTGGGGAAAAAAAACAGAGAAAGGTATGTATAACTTTTGGTTCTCGTCTTTCGTGAACCACCTTCAATGATTGCCTTCTTCCGAACGATATCATTTCGGACGGAATCATTGCTGGTTTGTTTTAGTCCTATCTCAATTTGAGCAGGGATTTTCTCGTTGAATCGTTAGGTACATTTCGCTCTCCGACTCAACATTTTACAGCATAACTTTTACAATCCTAGAACACCTAAACGGTACTTACTCGGGAAGAAATCAATTAAAAATACCGTTTATGTAAACAAGTCATAAAGTGTTTCTGGTAAGTGTTTCAGGAAAATGCTTCTGTAAGTGCTTATGGTGATTCACTTGTAAAAGCTTGAAAGTGTATTCATTGTAGGGAATAAGTAGTTCAACTTATTTTAGAATTTTTTTACAAGAATATCTTAAAACGTTCGCATTCGTGGCTCGATCTTCGTTGGGCGCCGGTGTTATGTAAGGAACGAGTCAAGAATGGGAATGTCTCATCCTGCGTTTGGAATAATCAATAACAACAGAGAAGAATCGATTTTAAGAAAACGGTGAGATCTCAATACAAACACACCATGGGGTGGTACCGTGACCTCGTTCAATCGATCTCTTATAAGTAGACTTTGAAAAAAAAATTAACGAAGACGATTTTTAGTTTAATAGGATCCGACATGTTGACTTGAAATCACTTTTCAAATTTTTAGAGTAGTCTGTCTGCATGTACAAATGGCAACGGTCTAATCTGTTGATTCCTTTCTCTCTATAGTAACCCTCGTCTCAAAGAGGGTCCGATCTTTCTTCAAGAAGGTTATAATCCTACTCAGATATGCAATGATAAAGCAAATCCAGTCCTTTATGGTTGTGTATGCTACCATGATTAAGGGGCAATGAGTTGGGGGTGGCATATACGAGGTATGTGTCCTCCTTATTTTGTGCCTCCGATCAAAATTTGAAGACGGTAAGAAAAGAGAGTTTTTGAGAAGAAAAAAACTCTGAGTGCCCCATCAGAAACGAGGCCACTGAGTGCCGCGCCCCTACCCCTGCACATTGGACACTGCAGGAAAACTCGAATGTGTCCATGACAATAACTCCGACTATGCACTCCCTCCCTTAGTTAAAACAAAAAAACTCAACTTGTTTTTGAACACGAAATAAGTTGATAATCGGTTTTGCATTTAAAACTCTTATCTCCCTCCGTAGGTCTGTATTATTAACGTGTACCGTATACCCGGAGTGTATTCCATTGTGAGATTAACCCACTATATCCTCGCTGTTTATTTGTATCAATATTTCGCTGTCCACGAGTTCCAAATTCCTATCCCACCTGCGCGTATAAAAGTCTTCATTTTTGGGGGTTGAATGGCCAAAAAACTAGATTTTTTTGCGATGCAAATGACTGGCTTTTCACAAAAGCTCTTTTATAGAACGACACGGTACGGCACAGATTTTTTTGATTCAGACGAACAACTGAACCTATGTTCTCCAATCGTATTCAGATCAAGGCTGTCTAATAGTTGATTGGAGATTTATTTTGCATACCTGTTATTTGCTTTATATGCATGGCCTTACGGAACAGATAGGGAAAACAATTTATTTCCGTCAACTTTTACAAATGTCAGAACAACTTGTGCAATATGCCCTGCATTGCAAAAATAACCCGAGTGTGCATTTTTCATATTATTGTGTATGGAATTATATTTGCGTCGACTTTCATCAAAACACAGAATTGTGAATCATGGGCTACATTGCTTCGCCACAAAGCACAATATATAAACCAACCGTCAAAAAAGGGTAGTTTTTCGGGGGGTTTGTATCAGTAATACAGCGTTCAGTTCCTATTTACCCCTGTACCTCAACATTATGTTACTACTTTTAAGAAAGCCAGCAAAAATGTCCCTACACTGCCGCAGACTGTCGAAAAGTTTCTGCAGAAATAATGCATGAATTTGCACAGAAACGTGTGTCTAAACATTTATTACAAAACCTTCCTGCGTAAAAATAGGCGATTGATAATAGGTGTATACAATTACAAATTCACCATCTATTTCATTTAATTGTTTCGCTGCTTTATCAGACCCAAGCTAACGGTTTATAGTGGAAGTTCACATGTATCTAATAAACTGTCAAGTTGGTCAATGTGCGAGGACCCGATTGTTTATAACTTCGCTGTTATTATGACATGTCCAAGTTTAGGGATGTCCTTTTGTCTAAATACTCGAGCTGTCACAAAATACACCTGCGATATGGGTGCTATGATCATGAAATGACTAGACTTTTCCCAGTCCCTTTCGCATTGGCAGTTCAAATTTGCATGCCGTAGTTTGACCTCCAAGAGAAATATGTGCATTTTCGGTATAGTCAAGACTGTTCCAACTTGTAAAGTATTGGTTCGTGATAAAACCACATTTAGGTGGAATGATATCGTAATTTACTGCAACTAAAATGGGAGTAACATTCTTGGTTACACATCGAGAATTTATTGCACCTTTTTTTGTGGGGCTGCATACCCGCGGGTAACAGTAGTTCATTTTACTTTTGCGGTCCCTGCAGTTGACCCACATAACTGTCATTTGTCTTGTCATGTATTCGGATTTTCGTCCCAGGTCCCCGCTACCGTTTTACTGTACTTGTTGGTTGTTGTTTAATGCACGTTTTACTCAATTTTGTTTTGTTTTGTTTTTGTGATGGTCGAATAAATAATAATAATAATAATAAATCTAAGAATAATAAAGTATGCAAAATAAGTTAAAGTTAAATGGGTTTTCTTGGTGGCTACATTGTGCCCTTGATGATAAAAAAATAGACAACCCCCCCCCCCCCACAAAAAAAATAAACAAGAACGGTTACAATGGTCGCATACTTTGTCGTCAGTTTCCGTATATCATAAACCCTGCGCAGTAATTTGAACTCCAAATTTGCAACAGTTTCGAGATGTGTTTTCCAAAGGCGTCTGCTTAATTGTTGCGAAAAGGTTAATAATCTTTTCGAAGAATAAATCACCGATGTTGGCCAAAAGAACTGGCCGAGAGTATCCCTGGACTTGGCAAGTTGCCTGTCCCGCCATACGAGGCATTCCCAGCTGTTAAATGCGTTCACTGCAGGGTGTCACTCATGATGATGTTGAAATGCCTGTTCTAAGTCAAGACCCTTGCCTCATTTTGTGCGGAGGAGCATTCCTTGGTTTCGTCACTGCTCTAACGAGCAGAAAGTTCAGACCTTTAACTCATCAAACTTGATCCTCAGTCTCGCCGGAATGATTTAATGAGAATAGATACTGGTATAATATAGGAGTTTGAAATGTGGGTAAATACAAGATTGCATTTTGTACCCAACATCAGAATAAAGTTATTTGGGCCTACGTCAGAAGGCGTGAAAAAAATTGACCGTCGGCGTTTGTTTTGATTGTTGGATCTGTTTGTTTGTTTGTTTGGCTGTCTGGGGTTTTACAATATTGTTCAGGTTCAAGTTCAAGTTCAATCCCTCAAAAATCACTTTCCATAAATGTTAAATAATTTATTTAATGTTGACTTAGATCACCTTAATTTCCAAGACCTGCCAAATTTTTGGCTGCAAGAAAATTGTCTGTCTAGCAGTTGATGGAATTGCGCAGAGGACCTTGCTTCCCTTACCCCTGGGCCCTTTTTGCTAGGAACCTTCCTCAATCCTCCAAACTCCTCCAAAATGTTGCACTTACATGTATGTTTAAACTGCATCAGGCCTTCAAAATCCTCCAACAGCCCTGCCACTCAGAATGCATTCAGCCTCAATCCTCCAAAATCCTCTTCTTCAAGCACCATCCATCCTCAATCCTCCATCCACCAAAATCAACCAATACTGAATGGCCATGTGCCCTCAATCCTCCGCAATCCTCCGCAATCCTCCAAACTTGTATGTTGCATTCATCCTCAATCCTCCAAAATCCTCCAAAACCGCCCGGAGGTTTATAAGCAAATTCACGCCCCAAGCAAAAAAAAACAGCCGGGAGCCAGTACCGTGGCTGGTAACCCATTATCTCTAAGCAGGAAGTTTCCATGCTAAGTGAATCTGTGTGCTTTGGGTTCCATGAAACTGGGTACTTATACTGAAAGGTAAATTCTTAGATAAGCCCCCTTAAGCCAAAGTGGCATTTAACTTAAAGAGCAAGCTAACTAAAACTTAAAAGGATTGCATGCAAGGAGATCGATCC